ACAATGTTTCTTTCACAGCTTCAGTTAGGGCGATATATTCCGCTTCAGCGGTTGATAAGGCAATAACCTTCTGAAATGTTACTTTCCAACTGATTGTTGTGTCAAACATAGTGAACACATATCCAGAAATATATTTTCTGGAATTCATACAACCTGCATAATTAGAGTCGACATATCCTTCGATTTCGACTTTGCTCCCATCACCACAGGTAGAGGCGGAAATAGGTCAGGTCGATAACAGGGGCCTACACAGGCTTAGGTCAGGCCAAGATTTTTTTTAAATAGAAAAGGCCTAGGCTTTTTTATAAGCTTATTTAGTTAAAAAAGGTTAGGCCTCATGATATAAAAAAAGTCTTTTAAGCCTAACAGACCGACCTATTTATATAAATATGAATAATTGTTTATTATCATTATATCATATTTTGTATCTTGAGTTAAAATACATAAACAAAAATTGGTTATCTTGGAGAAATTATGAAAATAAAGATGAAAAAACATTATGAACAATGTTATAAGTTATTTTCATAAGTTATCTTAAACAAACAGTCTCACAAAACTTATGCTAATAGGTAAGTTAAAATAAGTCAATGCAAACAAATTTTTGTCTCATTAGTTTTTTAGTTTATTAGTATATTTAAACATTATTTTAATTGCTTATTTACATATGTCTAAAATAATAGGCTTTTATGTAGGCTAATGGGGTAATCAGGTCTAATAAAAGGTCAGGCTCAAGCCTAAAAATAAGCCTATGACAGGCTACAGGCCAGGCTTAGGCTTCAATGTTTTTGGCAGACCAGGCTTAGGCTTGGCAAAGCATAGCTCGGTCTAGCTTTTTTCCACCTCTAACCACAGGTTCCACCATGAAATAAGACTCTTTTAAGATACCCATTTATATACCTGATAATCTACTTCAAAGCTTGTCAATGCACCTTTCCTGGATTGGTCATATACCTACTTACAAGGCTCACCTCATATGCTATGTCTGGCCTCGTACAGACCATAGCATACATCAAAGAACCTACCCCGATAGCATATGGGATGCTAATCATATAGATTCTTTCATCTTCAGTACCGGACTTAGAGTAGTACTAAGCTTAAACTGAGGATTTTTCGGAGTTACAACAGACTTTGAATTTGACATATCAAACTTGTCGAGAAGCTTCTATAGGTATGCCTCTTAAGATAATCACAACTTCAACTGCTTTCTATATCTCCAGATGTCAATCCCAAGAATCCTTGTGGCAGCTCCCATATCCTTCATTTTGAACTTCTTGTTGAGTTTAGCCTTCACCTCCATTACATCATCAACATTGTTGCTACCTATGAGGATATCATCCACATAAATCAACAGAATAACAAGTGAGTTTCCAGGTCAAAATCTGAAGTAAACACAATGGTCTAACTAGCTCCTAGTGAAACTATTGTATGCTATTAACTTGTCGAATCTCCTGTTCCATTTTCGAGGAGATTGCTTCAGGCTATACAAAGACCTATTCAGCTTGCACACATAATCTTCCTTATCCTTTTCTGCATACCCTTCATGTTGACGCATCTGGATCGTTTCGTCTAGGTCACCATACAGAAATGATGTCGTCACATCCATTTGCTTAAGTTCCAGGTTGAACTTTTCCACCATGGCCAACAACATTCTAATGGATCTATGCTTTATAACAAGTGAGAAGACATCATTGAAGTCGACACCTTCTTTCTAAGTGAATCCCCTAGCAACCAATCTTGTCGTAAAGCGCTTCGACATCACTCTTTTGATTTCTTCCTTGACCTTGAAAATCCACTTACAACTGACTAACCTTGCTCCTACAGGTTTCTCAATCAGCTCTCAAGTGTTATTATCATGAAGAGATTTCATCTCGTCATCCATGGCCTTCCGTCATTCAGTCTTGTTTTGACTCCTCATAGATTTCTTGTAATCTCTATGTTCTTCCTCACGTACCTCACTTGTAGAGATTAAGGTAAAAGCTATAAGATTTGCATAACCAAGTCTCTGAGGTGGCTTGATGACTATTCTCGACCTATCTCTTGCCAGTAGGTAGTCATCGACAGTTTCCTCAGTGTCTTTAGCATCTTACTCTTCTTCTTTGACTTCAGTTGGGTTATACACTTCAGCATCATTATGATCCACCTCAACATGGATTTCTACTTGTTCCATCTCTTCTTCATAGATTTATGCACTTCGACCAGCATCACCAATTTTCTTGAACGTCATCTCAACTTTATTGAAAAGTATATCACGACTTGTGATACATCTTCTGTGACCTGATTTTTGGCACCATAGCCTATAACCTTTGACTCCCTCAGGATATCCAAGAAACATGCATCTCAGAGCTCTAGGTTTGACCTTGTCTTGCCTAATGTGAGCATAGGGTAAACAGCTAAATACTCTCAGTTTGTCGAGATCTGGTGGTTGACCTGACCAAACTTCTTTAGGTGTCTTCATTCCCAAAAAGTCGAGGGACATCATTTATCAGATAAGCTGATGTCGGAACAGCCTCCGCCCAAAACACCTTCTTCAATCCAGAACAAACCAACGTGCATCTAACCCTTTCAAGGATTGTTCGATTGAATCTCTCAGCTAATCCATTTTGTTGAGGAGTACCTATTACAGTATTATGCCTTTCAATTTCAGACTCAACACAGTAATTGTCGAACGCTTCGTTGCAGAACTCAAGGCTATTGTCGTTTATCAACCTCTTAACCTTTCTTCCAGTTTGAGTTTCGACCAGAACCTTCCAACTTTTGAAATTCTTAAAAATTTCATCCTTCGACTTCTGAGTAAATACACATAACTTTTTGGAATAGTCATCAACGATGGATAAGAAATACCTTGCACATGAGTGTGAAGGATTCCTTACAGGCCCCCAAAGATCAACATGAATATAATCAAGGGATCCATGTGTTCTTTGTTTACCTTTGTTAAACTTCATCCTACAGGATTTACCAAATACGCAAGATTCACAAAACTTCAACTTTTCGACTTTGTCACCACCTAGCAGGTTTTGTTTCACCAATTCGATCAGGCATCTTTCATTGACATGGCCCAATCTCATGTGCCATAACTCTGCCTTCGACATAGGTTTCGTGGATGAAACATTTGTCAAACCACTTACAACCTCAGCCTCAAGGGTACATACAAGTCTTGTTTTTTCACACCTCTCAAGACTTCCTTCGACCCCTTCATGAGTTTTTGGATACCTTGATCTCCTTTGAAGACATATCATTTCTTGTCGAACTCACTAAGAGAAAATAAATTTCTCTTAAGGTCATGTACATACCTAACCCTAGTCAATAGCCTTATTGACTCATCATGGAGCTTGAATCTTACAGATCCAATACCTGCAATCTTACAAGCTTTATTGTTTCCCAGCAGCATTGATCCACCATCTTTATCACATAATTCTTCAAACACATCCTTGTTTGGAGTCATATGTCAAATACATCCAAAATCCATAATCCACTCTTTGCAAGAGTTGATGCTTGATACCACAAGGACATTAGATGATTCATAATCATCTTGTAGAATAGTTGCATTTCCATTGTCCTTACCTCCATGATTATTCAGGCGCTCATGGCACATATTTCTTGTGTGACCCTCCTTCTTACAGTGATAACACTTAATCCCAGAAATATCACCACCATAAGACTTCTGATGAGTTTTACCTTTCTTCTTCTCAAATCTACCATCTCTTTTCGAGGATTTCCCCTTCACGGAAAACCCTTCGCCGTCAGATTTTAGCAAAGCAATCCAGAAACATGGTAGCATCGTCAGATTTTAGCTTCATTTATCCTATATAACATTGAAAAAAGGTCATTCATTTCACACTATATGGAATAGAACCTAAAACTGGCAGCAATCAAGACGGCGTCACACAACAAACGGCAAACCAAGAAACTGGAAACCTCCGATGTCTCAAAAGACGAATCAAGAAACTGGAACTCAAACATCTCACACGACAACATTGTGAGGAACTCGAAACCACAACAGAATTATAAGCAACTGAAAATTAAGATGGATTTTACAGAAGACAGGATGGATGGGTGGCTAGGTTAGAGTTTGGATGAGAACAATGAAGTGATGAGATGGAAGATGAAAAGAGAGAAGAAACGATAGAAAATGAATGAATGTGAACAATGTTTAACAAAAACGCAACATTATGTATTCACTTGGGCAGGTTAGGATAGCCGCGGTCCTTTTTTTAGTGAACCGAGCCCACCCATTTAACCTGTTTGAAACCAAAATTTGGTCCAGTTCCACCCACAGCCCGATTGAACCCAACCCGGACAGATCAGTTATTTTCATTTGGATATTGCAGATTGAGACGGTTGTCAATTTTCTGTCCACCCCTAATTGTAACTCCTGATCTCTAATGTACAATTACTCCATACACAACCCAGCGGTATTATAATCTGTTTACATAGAATTCCAACACATGTCTACTTTTGCCCTTCTTACCCAAATTAGTCCTTAAATAGCAAAGCTCTTGCTACCCAAAAAGTGAAAGTCATATGGAACTCGGTTTTAAACTGCAGATGCACATGAATTTCACCACATAGGCGAAGTCATCAATTAAACATATGTGAGAATATTCTTGATATTTCACATGAAATTCACCACATAGACGATTAAACACATGTGAAAGAATATTCTTGATATTTCTCTTAGCAGAGCAACTATAAAAGCTTACCAAATAACCAAATATGCATTGAAGCTAAAGATACTATTATATCTGATAAAAGCAAACCAATAAACCATTAAAAAGGGAGACAAACAAAATTGTATCACAATGAAATATAGTTGACAATGTTTAACACAAACAAAATTGTATCACAATGAAATATAGTTGACAATGTTTAACAATTGCTCAGTAATGAGTTCAAAGAAGCAAAACACAATTAACATGGGAAAAACTAATAAAATGTGATTTACTATAATCACACAAAACTAAAGATTCCTCCAAAAAGATGATATCTCAACAGGTCCAAAATCAAGCCTTTGAGGCCTGCTTTTCTTTTGTCTTTTGAATTTTAAGGACCTTCTTCACAATTTTTTGCTCTTCAACCAAGAAAGCTCTAATGATCCTATAGAGGAGAGAGATTTAATTAGATATCACATGATTTAACCAAACATATAATTGCAAATGTATAACAGATTATTAAAAAATAGCACAGACCTTTCCCTAACAGCACCTCCTGACAAAACTCCACCATATGCACGGTTCACAGTTCTACGGTTTCTAGACAGCCTAGATCTCTTGTATTCGGTGGGCCTCAAGTGTGGAATCTGCAATTGTCAAGCATAAACTATAATAACTTTGGAAATTCAAATAATCATAGGGTAAGACAAATCAATTGGCATGTTATACCTCAAATAATGCAAAAACAACTCACTGAGGAAAATTATACATAATAGAACATAAGTTTTTACATGAAGTTTCATATATTTACCCTAGGTTACACATACAAAGCAAAACATTGAATGTTCAACATTTCTATTTATTCTATAATGAGTGCTCAACAACATTCGTGAAGTTTTCACACTATATGCATTAAAGAACATAATATTGCATTAAAGAACATATATTTACCCTAGGTTTCATAAACTAAACTGGAAATGTCGTTGACAATTCAACTCGGTTTCTAGTATATAATACAACTGTAATTGAGTATCACTGACTTCTTCAATGAATCTTTATAAAAAGATTATATTCAAAGACAAAAATTTGTATAAAGCCAAGTCATTATTTAAGATTTGAAATAAACACCATTAACATCATAACAGAAACTAGTTGTTAAACACCATTAACATCATAACAGAAACTAGTTGTTAAACAGACACCCATAACCACGTTTAGAATCCAAATAAAGGGAGAAATAAGTTGTAAGCATTATTTAAGTTAGATAACCATGCTGATACAGCTTAAATACAAAAACAAAATGATCAATAGATACAATCTAATTTATAGAATGCATTATTCAATAATAAAATAAACAGAGCCAAAAATTTTCAGAACTCCCATGCCTTAACAAACTAATCACCATTTCTTTAATTTCACACAGCTCAAGTAACACAATAACCCCGCATCATAGCAAACAAATTTCATGACTGGAAATGCCATTCACAATCAGCCTTAACAAACTAATCACCATTTCTTTAATTTCACACAGCTCAAGTAACACAACAGTTTCAATTGATCTTTATCAAAGTTTCATTTCAAGCCAAAGATTAGTGAATAGCTTACTCTTTATGAAATATTAGAAAACAATAAGTACTGACTAGTTGTTAACCAAACATCCATAACCATCTTAACAATTTTAAAAGGTAGGTAGCAAAACAAATCAAACATAAGGAATCAGATAGTTGTTAGCATTACTCATATTAAATTAAAATGCTTCTGCAAACAAACATGGTATATAACAATTTAGAAACACATCATTTTTTTACACAAACCCAAAATAAAAAACTTTCAAATCGAAAATATTAATGAAAAGAGAATAAAATGCATACTCCTTGAATTCTCTTGCCAGTAACAGGGCACTTAGGTCCACTAGCTCTCTTCTTTGTGGTCTGATAAACAAGTTTACCACCTACATTTCCATAACAAAAAACTCAAAACTCAATTCAAAAACGAAAGCGAATAAATCTGAGATTCGGAATCAAATAATTGGAAGGAAAAAAATGAAATTACCCGGGGTTTTGACAACCCGGTGCTGGTTAGATTTTGTTGCATAGCTGTGACGACGGCGATAAGTGAGACGCTGCACCATCTTCGATTAAGCTCTGCCTCACCGTTTACTTTGCTAGGGTTTTCAGAGGAAGTGAATGATGCGCCGTGATGAGATATAAAATAGAGCGATTCTGTTTGATATACCCTAGATCTAACGGTTCTAAATACACTTTTGTCACCCACCATTGGATGTCTGTATTACTTTTCATTTTATATTGAAAATTGTTTTATTCATCTATATAACATATAAATAAGAATAAAATTAGTAAAAAAAAATTACACCAAAAATAAATTTGTCTTTATATTTATAGATTATAAATTATGTATTAAATTATATTTTATTATAATATATTAATTATATAGAAACTATTAAAAATATATATTTTTATTGCAAAATAATTAATATTTATATATAGCGAATAAGAAAATTATTAAAAAATTAATAAATATAATTTTAATCATCATAAAAGTATTAAATATGCAATAATTTCTAATTAAAAAAAATAAGCATATTTTAAATGATAATTAAATTATATTTGTGAAGGAATAGAGAAATTAAATCTTTTAAATGTATGTTTATGATATAATGATGTCCAATGCATGAATGATTTGAAATGATATTTTTTTTACTTTTTTGATATTATTAAATTCATATATTACTTATGTATTTCATATTATCATACAATTTTGATACTATTAAATTCATACATTACTTATTTATTTATTTTTATAATATTATCAATTTTTATATTATAATATTTTTTTTGTAATCTTTAATTTTTAATGTATTTTATCTGTCTTATTTTATTTTTCTAGTATTTATTTTAAAATATTTAGATTAATAATATTTTTTTTTAATATTTAAACAATAATAATCATGTATTTTTTCGTATTTGATCAACAATTAAAATATTTAATAAATTGTAGCAAAAAATTATCATAAATTTCTAGATTATGTATTGAATTGTATTTTATTACAATATATTAATTATATTTTTATTGCCGGTTTATAATTAATATTTATATATAGCGAATAAGAAAATTATTAAATAATTAATAAACATGTTTTTAATTATCATAAAAGTATTAAATATGCAATAATTTCTAATTAAGAAAAATAAGCATATTTTAAATGATAATTAAATTATATTTGTGAAAGAATAGAGAAATTAAATCTTTTAAATACATGTTTATGATAGAATGATATCCAATGCATGAATGATTTAAAATGATATTTTTTTTACTTTGTTTTTTTGTTTGTGGGACTGATTTTAAAATATAAAAAATTGACTGCAATGATTGTAACTAGAAATTTATGATAATTTTTTGCTATAATTTATTAAATGTTTTTATTGTTGATCAAATACGAAAAAATACATGATTATTATTGTTTAAATATTAAAAAATATATATTATTGATCTAAATATTTTAAAGTAAATACTAGAAACATAAGTAAGACAGATAAAATACATTAAAAATTAAAAATTACAAAAGATAATGTATTATAATATAAAAATTGATAATATTATAAAAATAAATACATAAGTAATGTATGAATTTAATAGTATCAAAATTGTATGATAATGAAATACATAAGTAATATATGAATTTAATAGTATCAAAGTTGTATGATAATATGAAATATTTTTAATTATCTAATGATAAAAAAATAAAATTAATATATTTTAGAAATAATACATATTAAACTCATAATAAAAAAATAAGGGTATTGCGTAAGTTACATATAAATAAGGGTAAAATTGGTATAAAAAAAAACTACACCAAAAATAAGTTTTGTCTTTATATATGTTATAGATTATAGATTATATATTAAATTGTATAACTAATAATTATAAATGTTAATTTTATTACAATATATTAATTATATAGAAACTATTAAAAATATATATTTTTATTGCCTATTTATAATTAATATTTATATATAGCGAAAAAAAATTATTAAATAATTAATAAATATATTTTTAATTATCATAAAAATATTAAATATACAGTAATTTCTAATTAAGAAAAATAAGCATATTTTAAATGATAATTAAATTATATTTGTGAAAGAATAGAGAAATTAAATCTTTTAAATACATGTTTATGATAGAATGATATCCAATGCATGAATGATTTAAAATGATATTTTTTTTACTTTGTTTTTTTGTTTGTGTGACTGATTTTAAAATATAAAATATTGACGGCAATGATTGTAACTAGAAATTTATGATAATTTTTTGCTACAATTTATTAAATGTTTTTATTGTTGATCAAATACAAAAAAATACATGATTATTATTGTTTAAATATTAAAAAATATATATTATTGATCTAAATATTTTAAAGTAAATACTAGAAACATAACGTAAGACAGATAAAATATATTAAAAATTAAAAATTACAAAAGATAATGTACTATAATATAAAAATTGATAATATTATAAAAATAAATACATAAGTAATGTATGAATTTAATAGTATCAAAATTGTATGATAATATGAAATACATAAGTAATATATGAATTTAATAATATCAAAGTGGTATAATAATATGAAATATTTTTAATTATTTAATGATAAAAAAAAGTAAAATTAATATATTTTAGAAATAATACATATTAAACTCATAATAAAAAAATAAGACAAAAATAATATTTACTTACGAAAAAATTTATTGTTTATCCAAATATATATATATATATATATATAAACTTTAATTAACTAAAATATATAAAAACAATAAACTTTGATTAACGAAAAAATATATATATATATTGAATCAATAAACTTTGATTAACTAAAAAAACAATAATTATAACTTTATAAGTGATCCTGTAGATCCACCTACTAAAAATCAAGAAGACAAAGGAAAATAAAATTGCTAACACAAAACTAATCCAACATTATAGTTTTTCTAAGTTTCAAATTATTTCATCTCTTATAATTTATAATTCTTTTACCTATATGATTGTTATTATCACTTTTTCCAAAATTTTGTAATTTCTAAAGTTCCACAACTCATAGATGAAAAAATATTTTCGTACAAGTAAAAATTATATTTATGATCTAATTATAAATAAAAATATGTCTTTTTTTCGAAATAATAAATTCGTTTGATTAAGCAATTTTATTTTATTTTTACTATCATATAAGTACTCGTGCATAGCCACATATTTAAAGAGATTATTTAAAGAGATTATGTGAACGGGGAAAATAAAATTGCTAATTAAAATATTAAATAATAGAAATTTATCAATTAGTATATAAGTACTTAAATATATTATTGATCCAAATATTTTTAAATGATCTTATTTAAATAAACGAGAATAATTTTAAAAAAATAAAAATAGTATCAAAACATAAATAATATTTACATACAAAAGAAAAATATTGTTAATTCAAATATTTTTATATAGAAAAAAAATTATAGACACCAATGTATTCTCTTATAAAGGATTTTTTTTTTGTTATACAATTTTATTTTTTATTTACTTTATTTTTATTACATTTTAGAAATAAATGTGTGTACTATATCGATATCCATGCAAACGCACAAGTATCCCACTAGTTATCTATAATATAAAAAGGTAACACTTGGTAGAAAATTCATTTTTCCCTTCACACTAAGTCTGTCACATTCTTATTTAAGGGAAAATTTTGGTTCAAAATTTTTTTTTAACCAAACTGTAAATAGATTTAATTGTTAAATTTTTTTTTTTTTAGTTTAACCATGTTTTGAATCAGATTTCACTTTTTTTTTACTTTAAATCAATTAATTGAAATTAACTTTTTCACATTTTCTCTTTTATTAATGTCTTGTCAAATCACTTTTATAAAATTTTATATTTTTTATAATATAAGAAAAGGATAAGTGGTAGAAAACTCATTTTTTCCCTCACTCTAAAACTGCGACATCTCCATTTTAGAAACAAATTTGTTCCAAAAACTTATTTTTTGAACAAAACTAGAAATTTCAAGTGATTTACTTGTTAAATCTTCTACTTCCTTTGAATTTAACCATGTTTTGAACCAGATTTCACTTTTTTTATTCAAAATCAACCAATTCAAAACAACTTTTTCATCTTTTCTCTTTTATTAATGTCTTGTCAAATCACTTTTATAAAATTTTGTATTCTCTGATGCAATTTACAGCTAATACACTTTCACTTTTGTAAATTTTGTATTCTTCAATTTGAATCATTCTCTATTTTTCTTTCTCTTCCGTCACATTTTTTCCAATCTGAAAATCAATGTTACTTCTCTTTCTCTTTCGTCTTCATATTCCTCTTCTGCCTCTATCCTCTTCATCTTCCTCCTTTGCCTCTACCATCTCCTCCTTCCTCATGTCGGTATCAAAGCACATTGTTTCAATTTTTTGGTTTTTTTGTTCTCTCTTCTTGTGTTGCTTCCTTCTCAGATCTACACTAAGAAACCATAAGCTAAGGAATTCGTCCTCACACTGAATAACACCAATTTCCATGACGTTATCAGCAAGCACAATTTCGTCATCGTTGAGTTCTACGCCCTATGGTATATATTTCGATTCTGGTATTTTTTACGTTAATGCTTAATTCATCTTTTTTTGTTCTAATATGTTTTACTTGTTATCACTCTTTTCAAGATCTTAATTATGATCATGTTCTGATTTTGTTGTCAATGTATCTGATTTTTACTTTAGATAATGAAATTCGAAAAGTCAACTTCATCAGATGCAACAACAGCCCTTATAAAACTTAAGCAAAAAGTGCAGGTGGATTTGGTGAGTTTCATTTTGCTGATCTTATGATTATGTTGCGTGCAGATTGGTTTACTTGCACAAAACAATTGAGCCAAAAGTTGTCCATGGAGATATTAAGTCAAGTAATATTCTAATTAATGATGAATTCAATGCCAAAATATTTGATTTTGGACTAGCCAAGTTACTTGGTGTCGAAAAAAGTCACATTACAACTCGAGTTATGGGTACTTTTTGGTAAGCTCTCTTCTGTCTATATATTTAAGGTTGTTTGTTTATGTTTTCATTTTGGAATATTTGA